GTCTGATGGTGGCTATATCTAAGACGCTCATGCAGGTCAGAGGTCGAACGCCAGTCTCTACTCTCTTTATTACATAGATCTCTGACCCTTATTATCCCCCTGTTAATCCAACTTTTCCAGGGGGCATCCATACAATGCAAAACACATTTTTGGTCATCCCTAATAAACGTATTGTTGAAAAGAGGCTGTTGACAAACTTCTTCCCATCTTCTCATGAAAACTTCATCTGGGATATAGACATTTTCCTTCAATTTTCTATTAGTGTGATCCAAAATGGATCCCGCCAAAGATCCTTCCTAATTGCCTGCCTATCTGAGGTCTCCTCCTGATTTTGATCCCCTTGAGAGCCTTTAGGTAAAGACCATGCAAGGTTTTTCAGCCACGTTAGGGGATCTATGTGACCAGGGACCGGAGAAACTAACCTTTTTATCTGTTCCAAGGCTAGAAAAGACCAAGGGGTGTTGGGATTGAATATAAGATGTTTGATCCACTGAAGAGAGAAAGCCGTAGCCTGGGTATGAGGATCGATTATCCCAAGGTCTCCTTTTGTTTTGGGTTGAATAATGGACGACCAAACCACTCTGCTAATGACATTGGATCTTTCTTGATCCCCATGCCACAAGAAGGCCGCTGACAGTCTCTTGAAGATTTTAAGATTACCTTTGTCCAAAGCCCAAAAAACCGATCTATACCATATAGAGGCCAATATGACATTATTAATTATTAAGGTTCTACCAGATAGGGATGTATGTTTATCCTTCCACAAATTGAGTTTCAACCTTACTTGTTGTAGGTGGGTTTACCTGTGACTGAAAGGGATACTCTTAGCACTCTGATTGGTACATTATGATAAACCCACTTAATGTAGAAAGGTTCAGGGTGTTTCACACCTTGATAATGGATCCACCATCCTAGTGTTTTATTCCCCCAATTGACCTTCATATCAGAGAGTTTACAGAATGTGTCAATTAGTCTTTTGATAACTTCTAAATTTTCATGTGAAGCATCAACCATCAGAGAGAGGTCATCAGCAAAGAGAGAACAAACTGGGATTGCTTCCTCAGGAATAGAGGAGTCTCAGACCCGAATATGCCTGATGTCTTTATGATGTCTTATGTTAGTTGCTAAGGCTTCCATAATGATCACAAAAAGAAGGGGAGCAATGGGGTCACCTTGCCTTACAGATCGCTGAAGAGAAATGGGGGGTGCTACATTTTCATTGACCATGACCCTTGTTGTGGCATTCTTGTGCAAGATATTGACCCATCTCCTAAAATATGGCCCAAAGTTAAACTTTTCCAGACATTTATCTAAGAAAAACCAGTCCACATGATCATAAAGTCAATAAATCCATGCTTAGACTGTCGAGAGATCTTGATGAGCTCATTAATGAGCAAAATATTGTCGTGGATATTCCTTCCTTGGATAAATCCAGTTTGTAAGGGGTGAATAATGTCCGCAATGAATTTATTCAGATGAATCGTGAAAGTTTTTGAGATCAATTTATAAACCACGGTGAGCAATGTGATAGGTTAGTCGTTTCTAATGTTATATTTATCACATTTCTTATAGAGTAGGGTCAACACCCCTTGCCCTGCTATCTCCCCCATATCACCTGAGTTCCATACTGCCTGATAGAAATCCATGAGGTCTTAAGAAATGAAATCCCACAAGACCTCCCAGAGTTCTTTTGGGAGACCATCAATCCCTGGGGTCTTATCTTCTTCGATTAATAATAGGGCAGTCCATATTTCATATTTTGTCAGGGGCAACTCCATTTGTTCTCTCTGATGCTGAGAAAGTGACTTAGTTAGCGGGATAAGAAACTCTTCTATTTTCTTCGTGCATTGATCCAAGGAAATGTCCCTATTTTCCGAAAGAAAAATATCCTTGAAGAAGTCCCTGACAATTTAGTACATCCTGCTGTTGACACCTCTAGCGGCCCGTTGAGAGAATGAGGATGAGCTAGAGCCTCTATCAAAGTTCTACCTGTACGGGCTTTGGCCATGGCGAAAAATCTTACATCCATGACTCCTTCCGTATGATATTTGCGAATTCCGCCGCGAATCCTCATACCTTGTCATCTACATTCCATATATTTAAGTAATTGGCCTTCAAGGTCTTGAATTTCCTTAGCCATTTCTTTTTGCATTTCTAGGTCTCTTTCCCCATCTTCTGATAGTTGCAATTGTTGAATACGTTGATATATACTAGTTTCAGAAGCATGACGTTCCATAGCCAAAGCTTTCGAGTATTCATTGCATTTACGACTTAAAAAGAGTAACCCATTATTGAACCAGAGTACCTCATTTCGTAAAATGACCCTCTGATTCCTCCAAAACGACCACACGTCCTTGATAAATGATCTAAAGAAGTCAATCTTAAGATGAGTTGTATTAAGTTTATAGAATCCTCTTCCTTGATCTGGTTTCTTACCAAAGGAGAGGATGGTTACGCACATGGCATGATCTAAACCTAGAAGGGGACTTCGTGAAAAGATTTCTGCCATTTGGAGCACCTTCCGAATCCTCTGAGACAAACCCACCCTGACACTACTGCCAGCCTGAGTTACAACCGCCTTTTCATACTCAGGCCATGACGAAGTTGCCGATGCCTATTTTTTCTGCCCATTACGAACTCCCACGTGACATAAACACACTTCCCTCTTCTTTTTTTTTCCCGTGCCTGCAACATTTTTTTTTTTTTTTTGCGCCTGCTTTTTTTTTTCGTGCCTCCTTATGCCACGGCCGAGCTGTCTAGGCCACACCCATGGCTGGGCCATGGCCGAGATGTCTTGGCCACGCCCATGGCTGGGCCACGACTGAGATGTCTAGGTCACGCCCGTAGTTGGGCCACAACCGAGATGTCTAGGCCACGACTGAGATGCCTAGGTCACACCCCTGGGGAAACGAGACAAAAACGGGAAGGCCTGCTACCGGTATTTGCTCCCAGGCCAGGCCACGGGAAAAAGAGCGGTACCACGACCACCTCCTCCCGTTTTTGCCAATTATTGAACTGGTGGGCCATCGAACGCATGATTTACTGTTTTTCTTACAGTTTCTAACTGGTCTTCACCCAAGCTTGCAGTGGAGTGGACTGTTATTTCTTGGAATTCTGAACTGTGCAGCGGTCACAGGCGCAGTTGTCTCTTTTTTTTTTTTTTAACAACCCACCATAAATTAAGAAGAAAAAAAAGCCACCATTTTGCAGGTGCTATGAGCATCCCCAAAATTGTGGACTTGCCATGCCTGATGGCTCCAAACTTCCAAAGAGTCCATTCTATTGGAGGGGGGGCGGCGCCTGCTGTAAACCAAGTCCAGTGTCCTGTGCAAGGAACATGAGTATGGACGAAGCACAAAAATCCAGAATGCAAAATCACACTGAAGTCCAAGTAGTCAAAGCCAAAGCAGATAGCACATGGAACCGAGTAACCATCCAATTGAGAATGATACAGAAGAATCGTGAGTCAATGTCCATGCCCAACAGGGCAACACCAATAGCATAACCCAAATGTAGCTCTCTCTTGTGAATGGCGTCAGGTGCCCTATCTACTCTATAGCTATCCTACAACTACAGCAATGAAAAGCAAGCAGACAACTTGACTACCAACGAGTTATGATGTCAACACCAATGCCGACCTCCACCATCACCAGGTACGTGTCATCTTCCCCACACTCTCCCTTGTTACCCACACAGCGCCCTTCACCTCCGAAGTACCACCTTCGCCCTCACCTCCCCTGCACCCTCTTGCGGCCCAGGCTATGGCCGCCAATGCCCTCAGTGCAGGCAGCGCCCTACCGCCTAGCGCTGACCTGCTTGCTCTTAGCGCAGCACTGCCTTGCACAGCGCAGCACACATGCATCCGCGCAGCGTGCCCGCATGTGCCAGCATTGGCCAAGATGCTTGCTGCCTCGCCCTGCTTGCCTATATGCCAATGCAGCATGTGGGCGGCCTCCCTTCAGCCTGCGACCGGGACCCAGAGGTTGAAGCCTTCCCGATACAGTTGGGCCCTGGAGCAATGCAGTTGCGCCTCTCTTCTCAAGGCCTGCGGCCAGATTCAGATAGTGGGCCGATTTTCCCTTTGGCATTTCGGCCTCTCTACCCAGCATGCATTGTCGGCCTCACGTTCGAGTGCCCAGGGCCTAACTAACTCAAAGCAACTGGTTAGGCCGGCACTAGTACCACTGATACTCCTAATAAGGTACAATTTTTTAGACTTGCTGCTGTTTTAGATCGGGTCTATTGTTTGGTCCTTGTTTCCAGGATCTTCGTCCCCCTTGGTCCAGTATTCGGTCGGAAATTTAGTAAGGTAGGGTATATAAGTAGGTTTCTTTCCTGTCTTTTACATCTCACTTGCGTTACCCCTGACGATGGCCGGTGTCTGACGGCCCGACCGAAACACGTGTAGGGTAGTCCGTCAGTCGAACTTCAAGCTATGGCGCTTTGCGCCTACTTTTTTCTACTGTGCTTATTGTACATCTTTTAATGATACGCTCGGGGGATTTTTTCTTGTCTCTTCTTGTCTCTTGGCTACTTGTGTATTGTGGCAAAGTGTGTTGCGGCACTTGCATGATTGCTTACTGCAATACGCACACAGAGAACCGTCGGGGGGATTGTTTACCCTGTACGTGTGACTGTGTTCTTTGTCTACACCCTTATGCCTCCGAAGTGTTTATTCATTGATCATTTTTTTCTTTCTGGAGGTTCTCATGTTATTACTCCTTTTCGTTCTTCTTCCCTTCCCTTTCACTTTCCTCTCTTGCTTCTCCCTCTTTCTCTTTCCCTCCTTCCGTTCTATCTATCGCGTGGTGAGAAGTTTATGGCCTTTGCCCGCTGGTCTGGTTCGGAGGACGTGGTTAGTTCTCCTTCGCGATGTATCGACCAGACCTTCGCCATTTTTGCCATTTACCTGGGCATTTCATTCGGGAGTGCCCTTTTCGTAATTGCCCGAATGGGGCGGAGTTGGCCGCTAATCTACAAGGAGTCATGAACGGCGGAGCACGTGAAGATGGAGAAGGTTTGTTACAAGCACCAGTCGGGTCCTCTTACGCACAAGTGGCTGGGTCCTCCGCTGTCTCGAATGCACTTGTACCATACAAGGCGCCGCTCAACAGAGGAGTGAATGATCGTGGGAACGGCGTCAGCGGCTACGGCAACTACAACAATTTCGGGAACAATGGTGGTTACAAGGGTGACCATCGCTACGGCGAGCAGCGGGTTGCGAAACAATGGGGCGGAGGGTACAAGGATCGCGATCATTCGAGATGATCGCTTCGACAAGATCTATGGTTTGTTCTCTGAACAGGCCGAAGAGAGAGAGTGGAAGCAGCAGGAAGCTGCCAAGTTAGAGTTGCTTGAGGCCGAGAAGAAAAGGTTACAAGCAGAGGAAGAAAAGAATGCGCAGGCCAGGAAAGAGAGGGAGCTGCAAGAGACAAGGTTAGGGAAGATCGTTAGGGTGAATATGAAATCGGTGTGTGAATCGGTTCTTGGGAAGAAGGTGGAAATTCCCGATGAAGATGAAACGGAAATAAGCAGGGTAAGGAGGGAGTTAGAAGAGCTGAAAGCGCGGTGTGCAGGGGAGAAGGCGGAATCCAGTCTGGAGGCACTGAGGCGAGAGAAAGATGCTCTCCAAAGAGCCCATTCCAAGAGTAGCGAGGAGGATATTCTCAGGAAAGAGATCGAGGCGTTGAAGGCCAGGAATGACAAGGGCAGGACTGCCGACTTGGTCTCCGAAGGTTCCAGGAGTAACGAAATTGCTGCACTCCGCTTGCAGATACATGAACTTGAAGTTGTCCGCGCGGCTCTTCAGGATCACAATAACGAGCTATGTAACCTTAAAACTTAGAATTCAGCGCTAAAAAAAGACTTCCTGGATCTTAAAGGAGAGATCGACGAGCTCAAGAACGCTAACAATAAGCGGGCTTCCGAAGCAGTTACCAGAAAGAGCCCGCCTGCGGAACCTGACATGGGCAAGCAAATGATGGTCCCGATCGGCGAAGCGGTCTACACCCCCAAGGATCTGGATGCTCTTCACAAGGCGTTCAAGAAGGCGCAAGCAGGTGAAGAAATGGCCAACAGGGAGGTGCAAGCTCTTAAACAGCGTATGGCACACATGGGAGCTCACTTGCTGACCAAGCAACGGCAATCGGCCAGAAGGCCGTTGATGAGGAAGACGACACCACGAAATCTAAGACCGACACTCAGCGCCATCCAGGTTGAGAATGTTGAATTGGATAAAGAGGCCGATCCGGTCAAGGTGGTTGATGCCGATGAAGCTCCTGAAAAACCAGAGGAGGCGCAACTGAGGAAACTGCAAGAGGAGGAAAACGGGCATTGCGAGCAACCAAGAAGGCTGAGATGCAGCGCATGTGTGAGGAGGAAGGGATTACGTATATCAAACTCGATCAAGCTAGAGCGGATGTCGGCGAAATCCGAACCAGAAAAAGATTTGCACAATGGCTCAAGGATCAGGGTCATCATGAAGATGATGACGATGATCAAGATCTGTAGTATGCCACCTCTGCGGAAGACGCCAACGACGAGTGAGAATGCGCCCTGAGCGTATCTTCCTTGTGGGAATGAGCATCTTTCTTTCGAGATTATCGTAGGTCTCTGCCTATGGATGAAGTTAACTATTTGTTCCGATTAATTGTTATTCTTTTAATTATTAATAATCAGATTCTTTGGGGTTGTAAATTTCGTGAGTTGCTTTCGCATTTGCTCCAAATCGGCTATGATTTTAGGCTATGTCCAGGTCCGGTTGTATATGCCCTCATTTCTCCTTGGTTCAAACATGTGTATATCGGATGTACTTCCCGCAACGGGAGTATTAGATAGAAGGAACACTGTTCTACCTCGGCATCTTCTAGGTTTCTTCGTCGTAATCGGAGACTCTATCGGTGGTTTCGGCGAGTAAGTATTGATGGCTACATCTCTATTCCTATCTTTTCTTGCTCATCTGTGCACGATATGATGTCGTCGGAGAAAATTTTCATTCGCTTCTTCAATCCATCCCTTAACTCTTCTTATTCTGCTAGATCCAGGAGACCGACGAGATCTCGCCCGGGTCGAAAGGAAAGGGCGCGACGAGCATGTATGCTCTCTTCATCTAATTCCTCTCCTGATTCCTCTGGTGCTATCCCTCAACATTCTTCCCTTCCTACGTCATCTTCTACCAATTCTTCCACATCCCATTTCGCTCCTTTCCATTTCTCCCTATAAACTGGACAATCGTCAGTTAGCCTCATCTCCCTCCTCAGTGACATCTCATCATCCAAGGCTACTCTCCCTCTTACACTCCACGTACTATCAGGTAAGTCATTTGCCGAAAACTGGTTCGACGTCTTTTTGGCTGCTCCACTGCCTCCATTTCTGATCTTCCCGTCTCATTGCTTAGGCACTGCCGATCCTGGTTTCGACCTGGCGCTGTCATTCGTCTGCACTCTGTCATACGTTTTTGTTCTAAGTCCCTCCCTTATAAGGACAAGGTAGTTAGGCTCTTAACGCATCCTCAGTCTAGGCGCGATCTACCTTCTTGGAGTCTTAATTCTTTTATATCCGCTTACAATGGTGTTCGCACCATTTCTGAAAAAAGATCACGTACTTCTTTACGTATCATTCTTTCGCAGGCCTGTCGTAAGAATTTCAATCTGTCCCTCTCTGCTCGACTGACAATACGGATTAAATTTGATGAGAGGCTTGTTAAGTCGGTTGTTAGACGTGTCTGTCAGATGTGTATACTGGGGTTGGATTTTCCTCGTCCGTATCTTGAGCAAGTTTGCAGAAGGATGCGTATTGTATGGACTAAAAACCAGGCAATATCGGATCTGTTACACAATTTTCGACATTATGCATCATCATCAGAACTGAAGTGTGGTTGTGCGGATCTGCCAACAGTCTTTCCACGGGTTGGTGATCACGTATCATTTAGATTTAGTGGAGTAGATTTTCTCCCTTCAAGTCTCCGCAATTCAAAGAACATTGTCTACCCAGAGTATGTCACTCACAAGGGATTTTTGCGCAAACAAATTAGTGATTCTCTTCAGCAATTTTTCGGGTCTAAGGCGGATATTCTAATCCTGGGGCTTGAGTTATGTCTATCTAATGGTGGTAGGCAGTCTGTTGGTATTTCATTTGAGGAAATTTCATTATGGAAGGTTAAGTTCGAAGGGCTGGTACGATGCCCGTTGGATCATAATAGTGGTGACACTTTTGCTTGTTGCCCTACCATCTACGCTGGTGGACTTAGGCAGCTATTCACTGAGAATACAGGACTACTGGTGATCGAGAAGAAGGAAGCCGATGTCATAAGTATATACAGATCGGATTATTTAGCTCAGAAATTTCAGTCTCTCGTACCGTGGGTTGCATCGGGCAAACTTGGAAGGGCATATGTCATACCCAAGCACAAGGATGTTAATAAGTGGCGACCCATTTGTCCGTCTTGGAATAAACCATCCAGGAGGTCAGCACGGATAGTATTTCTATGTGTTAACGAGTTTCTTAGAAGACTATCATCTAGAAGTCATTTCAACTTGTGTAGTACACAGTCTCTTTCTGCATTCTTATCTAGGGTTAACCAGAATGTTGCCCCTTGTGATGATTTGCTCGCGAGTAGCTTTGACGTCAAAGAAATGTTCTGCCAGCTACCGCACTCGACTGTCCTTAGTGCGGTAGAATGGGCAGTCAACTTTTTTGAAGAAAGAGGTTTCCAGAAGTGTTTGGTTTGCGTCAGAAGTAAGTCTGTTGTTTTCTCCAAAGTTGCAAGATTATGAGCAGGTTATAAGTCAGTTAAGTTTTCTCTTCTTTTCAGGTTCATCGCTTACGACCTTGAGCACACCTATGCCATGGTAATGGGTAAGGTAGTAAAACAGAATCTTGGTATTCCCATTACAAAATCATCGAGCCCGGCTCTGGCTTGTTTGATGTGCGCCCACAATGAATTTACCTTCCTTAAGGGTCTGGGCAACGATGCACGTTTGGTTTTTGGATGTAGATTAGTCGATGATGTTTCCATTTTCGTCAAATTCAAGAAGCAGCAATTGGTTTCTGAGGAAAGAGCAACATCAATAATGGAAAGGTTTGTTACTACCTGTTACAATAGCCATCTCACTTTACAGAAGACCAGCAGTAGCAACCAATGGCCGTATTTAGGATGTAGAATTCTGATGGGCTGCGATCCTGTTCGGGTTTATTGTCAGGCCTTGCATAAAAATCAGGTGAATTTGCTGGAAGGAAAAGGTCTTATTTTTCAAAACCTGCAGGACTTTCGTTCGTATAGCAGCAAGAAACAGAAGATGGTGATTATCATGTCTTTCTTACACCAAGCCCATACTATGGGCACCTTGCCTGCTGCGGAGGCAGCCTTTCTTCTCACTCTGAAAATGGAACTCCGACAGCGGGATTTTCCTGACAGTTTTTTCGATCAAGCTTTATGAAATTTCAATGTTAAAATAGGTGGTGCCTGGACTGTTTGGGTCCGTTGCTTTGCCAACTGGTCAGGCCGGCACTAGTACCACTGGTACTCCTAATAAGGTACAGTTTTTTAGACCTGCTGCTGTTTTAGACCGGGTCTATTGTTTGGTCCTTGTTTCCAGGATCTTCGTCCCCCTTGGTCCAGTATTCGGTCGGAAATTTAGTAAGGTAGGGTATATAAGTAGGTTTCTTTCCTGTCTTTTACATCTCACTTGCGTTACCCCTGACGATGGCCGGTGTYTGACGGCCCGACCGAAACACGTGTAGGGTAGTCCGTCAGTCGAACTTCAAGCTATGGCGCTTTGCGCCTACTTTTTTCTACTGTGCTTATTGTACATCTTTTAATGATACGCTCGGGGGATTTTTTCTTGTCTCTTGGCTACTTGTGTATTGTGGCAAAGTGTGTTGCGACACTTGCATGATTGCTTACTAACTCAGAGGCCCTGGGCATTTCAGCATTTGCTGAAATCCGAGACTCGGTGCACTCCAACCAACTGGCGTGCTGTAACTGTATAGACCCCACTTCGTGAAATGTTGGTCGAGAGGGCTCTTGTTGATTTGCTGGCCCGCCTTCACTTAAGGCGGGGATTAGGCTTGCTGGGGCCTTAGCCTAAAACATGTACATCATGGCAAGGCCCCTACTTGAGGGCTCAATCCTCACATTCCATCCCCCTGAGCTTCGAAAGTCCGCTGAGATGCTTACTTCGCAGGTGTCTTCCCTTTTAGCTTCCGTTCATAATCTGCCACCACCTGAGGAGCTGTTTCCATCAGTTCCTCCCGGGTAAACCACCGATCTTCTTTAGGATCCGTATGATGCCTGAATCTGATCCGGTACTCTCTTTTGGGTTTAGGAGGTCTTCCTCGACCCAACGGCTTCTGAACAGGCATATCCCTGTGTTCCACAATGTCGTCGATGTCGACTTGTCCATCCATGGTTGGGGGCAGCATCGATCTCCTGGAAGGGAATCGATCTGTCTCAGCGAAAGGTGCAAGCTTTGAGGCATGAAAGACTGGGTGAGTGCGTAGGTGTCCAGGGACACGAATAACATATGTGGGACCATCCAACTCATCTCCCACTACATCCAAGACTTCCCAGGGACCAAAGTATTGAGGCAGTTTGCGAGAGATTCCGAATTCCTGTCCTAACTCACTAGCCTTGACCCAGACACGTTCCCCTACCTGAAATGTGGACTGTCTACGATGTTGATTCTCAGAAGCAATCATGGCTTGCTGAGCCTTCTTCATATGTTCAACAGCCTCTTGCAGCAACTTCTCATACTGCACACCGTATTCAAGTGTGTCTGGAGTTGCAATAGGTCGGTTTTCAGGTAGGAGGAAGTCTAGTGCTGATCTAGGCTTCCAACCTAAGTGCAGCTGGTTAGGACTAACAACAATACTGCTATGTATAGCATTGTTGTACAGGCTGGTGATGAGAGGTAACTGCTCATCCCAGTCATCCTGGCTGCGCTTGATGTAATGCCTCAGCAAGTGCTGTACAACTCCATTCATCTGTTCGGCTTATCCGTTGGCTTCAGGATGATTCCCTGAAGTCATTTGAAGTTGACTGCCTATTAGTTCCGCAGTCTTCTTCCACAGCTCACTTGTAAATCGGACGTCTCGGTCACTAATGATGGTCTTTGGTAAACCAAAGTCCCTTACCCAGTTGTCCTTGAACAACTTGATGACGTATTCTGTCCTGGTTGTCTCTTGCATTGGTATTAGTCTAGCGTACTTGGTGAATCGGTCAATGATGACGAAGATGTGTCTCTTACCACTCTTGCTGGTCACAAGAGTGTCCATGAAATCCATGGAAACACTCAATCCTGGACCATCAGGAATAGGTAAAGGCTTCAATAACCCAAGCGGTGCTTGAGTTCGTGGCTTGTCCCGCTGACAGACTTGACATGTCTCAACATACTTCTTTGCGTCATCTAACATTTTGGGCCACCGAAATCGCTGTACTAAGTTAGCACTCGTTTTCTTGTAGCCAAAGTGCCCAGTTGCGTCATGACATTCACCTAAAAATAAACTACGCAACTGTTCACTAGATGGAACTACCAATCTCTTTACTCCGGCCTTATCAAGATAGATTAACCCATCCACCATCACAAACTTACTTTCTGTAGCCTTGTCTTTCGCMTGAAGTTTGCGGATGATGTCCATCGTGACAGGGTCTTCCTGATAGGCTCCCACCAATGATTGAGTTACTTCATTAGATACGCCAAATTCAGAAACTAGCGCACCTAGGTAGTCTGCTCTACGGGATATCGCGTCTGCAACCTTATTGTACTCTCCCTTCAAGTACTCAAGCTTGAAATCATATTGGTCTATGACCTCAATCCATCGCTTGAGTGCATCAGAAAGAGCCGGTTGAGTCTTGATCCATTTGAGGGTCTGATGATCAGTCCTCAGATAGAAGAACCTTCCCAAAAGGAAGTGTCTCCAATGGACAAGTGCCTTGTAGAGAGCATAGAGTTCCCTTTCGTAGGTGGACTTAACCAGCTTCTTCGAAGGCATTTTCTTACTCATGTACTCAATCGGTCTCAACTTTTTCCCATCCTGCTGAGCCAGCACTGCGCCAATGCCGTATTGGCTTGCGTCAATGGTCACTATGAATGGCTTCTGCGGATCGGGAACCATGAGAACTTCATGATTCATTAGTGCATGCTTCAATCTCTTGAAAGCACCCTCGCACTCATCACTCCAGTCCCACGGTGTGTCAAGTCGAGTTAGATCAGTCAAAGGAGAGGCGACTGTAAAATAGTTCTTAACGAAGTTTCTATAGTAGCCGCACATTCCTAAGAATGACCTGACCTCAATGACTGTCTGAGGTCGTGGCCAATCTCGAATACTAGCCACCTTCGCATCTTCCGGCCTGATTCCCTCCGCGGATACTTCATGACCCAAGTATAGAATCTTTGTGCGACCGAACTCACACTTCTCTAAGTTGACCTTATACTTGTGCTGTCGTAGGGGAATTGTCTCAACATGTTGTGCATGCTCCTCGGCAGACTTACTAAAGATCAGAATGTCGTCTAAGTAGACCACGACAAACTTAGCTAAATGGTCATGGAAGATCCGATTCATAGCGTGCTGGAACGTACTCGGCGCATTACAAAGACCGAAAGGCATCACTACAAACTCATACAGACCATATCTAGTCTGAAAAGTTGTCTTGTGTTGGTCCTCAGGTCTTATTGCGATCTGGTGATATCCGGATTTCAAGTCTATCTTTGTATAGTACTTGCATCCCTGCACCCTATCCAATAGGTCGTCTATGCGAGGTAGAGGCTCTGCGTTTTTCACAGTGATGACATTGAAGCCTCTATAGTCAATGCACATCCTCAGAGTACCCCCCTTCTTCGGTACAAATAGCACGGGTGATCCGTAAGGGGAAGTACTAGGCCGAATCCATCCCTTCTCTGTCAGCTCCTTGAGTTGCTTCCGAAGTCATCTAACTCGGCAGGGGCCATCCTATAGATCCTTCCCTTTGGGGTCTTACTCCCTGGAATGATTTCTATAGCGTGGACGACTTCCCTATCAACAACTCCCGAGGGCTTCTCGAACAGATCGGGGAACTTAGCAACGACGCTTTCTATCTCTGGGGATGTTTTAACGGCCTCCCCCTTCTCAGAGACATAAACAAGGTACATACCCTCCTCTTGGTTTTGCTTGTAATAGTTATAGAATGCTGATGCGCACAAGCAACCATAGGTATCCACAATACTACTGGCCTTAAACTTAGTCAATCTGACAGTTCGGCCATCGGGCAACTTGTATTTGAGCACCTTCTTATCCCAGTCGAACTGGGGCTCAGCAACTTCGAGGTAGTACATGCCTAACAACATATCGAATGGCAAGTCGTCGCTAACCAAGAACGAGATCTTATGGTTAAGCTCACCTCCTCCATAGGAGAAGGTACAGACTACGTCCTTGATGTAGTCTGTTACAATCATGCGCTCCTTGTTGGCCAAAGTAGATGCTACGGGTCTACTAAGGTGCCGTACCCGGTCCTGTAGGTGAAGCCTTTCCAAACAGTCGCGGCTTATGTAATTCCACGTGGAGCCAATGTCTTTGAAGGCACCACATTTGCGGCCTCCCACATTGACTTCCACTACGAAATGTTCCCCTCTAGGACCTTTCCTTAGTGCCACCCAGGACTCGCGAGGGTCCTTGTTTGACCACTCACTCTCCAAGTCCTCTAAGGCTTCAGACACATCTAACGTACAGAGCATAGTTTGGTCTAATTGTGTCTGCGGGGTGACTAAGGAGTCATTAGCTTCGGCCTTGTCATGAAGTGAGGAGGGTATCATTCCCACTTCATCTTGAGTAGAAGCCGCTACTACTTCCACTGACCCTACGCGTTTCCCGAGCTAGAAGCCTGGGAATAGGTTGTCCCTACTTTTGGAGCAACCTTTTGCGTAACCTTAGCGTTCTGACACTTCCACTACGTGTGTCCGTATTCTCCGCAGTTGATGGAAGCGCCACGCATTCGGCGGTTACGCCACACGTCTTGATCAAAACCTGCCTTTACCCACTCAGACTGTTTGGTCTGATTGGAGGCGGTCTTCCCTTGACTCCTAGGTTGGCCCTTCCCTCGGCCACCTGCCTTAGTCTTTACTACCGCGGCATGGGTGCTACCCTCAGCTACCTCCTCGCTGTCATACTGTGAGTAGTCCATGAGGTCAAAGAGCTCATCAATCTCAGTTTGAGTCCCATCAGACTCAACCATCATCAACTTCGCCCCCTTCTTCTTCCACTCATGAGGACTCTTCTTCTTCTTTGAGTCATTCCCTGAGGTGGGTTGAGCATTGCCTAGCGTGGCCTCTAAGTCTAAGGCTTTCCTAGACAATGTCTCAAATGAGTGGTACTCAGTGCGTGCCTCACTGGCTAGTAAGTTCCTCATGTTCTCAGGTAGACACCTAAGAAACGTGGTTAAGAGGAACTGGTCACTGTAGTTGATGCCTGGGACGAGGATCAGGCTCTCGACGGTAGTCGTAAGCTCCCTAACTGACCTGAATT